TAAGGTGACTCGATATAAAACATAGGGCGACCTGATAAATAAATATCGGGCGATCCGATATAAAAATCAAAGGATATAATAAACATAAGACGCCTCATTTAAGTCGACCCGATATAAAATTATAGGCGTTCGTGATGAAATTATTACATTCATTCAATCAATCATAAAAACACAGCAGTAAGGAAACAAATACTAGTAGGATAAATGTGATAGGTCAAATTTCAGATACACTGTATACCACTTATAATGATATACCTTTGCTAAGTCAAAGTTCAGGTGTACCACTTGTAATAATATACCTGTGGTAGGTCAAAGTTCAGGTGTACCACTTGTAATAATATACCTGTGGTAGGTCAAAGATCAGGTGTACCACTTGTAATAATATACCTGTGGTAGGTCAAAGTTCAGGTGTACCACTTATAATATTATACCTGTGATTAGTCAAAGTTCAGGTGTACGATTTATAATATACCTGTGGTAAATCAGAGTCCATGTGAACTAATAAGAATAATACTCATATGATGAGACAAATTTCTAGCGACAACTACAATTCTATACATTTAAAATGTATACATGAAGTTCCGTTGTCAAAAACTTTCATTTTTTTGTTTTCGTACAACAACTGCATAATGCAAATAATTTTACGCATGGAAGTTTTATCAATCGGGAACTGATCGGGTATTTTCGTCATTCGGATAGCGTATTAGAGGACCAATCACATTGTGACGTCAACCTTAAACTTTGAAGGGTTTCCGCTTGACGCCTGACGGTAGTTGTAACAATAGAAAACACGATATTTCCCCCGTAATAATGTTTTTTCAGGTAACAAAAACGTCTGGTTTAAAATGTAAAATAAACTGAATGCACCTTCATAGAACAATATTTAATGTAAAACTAAATACCAGGAGTAAAAACAAATGCACTTCTAAAACGCTCATTGAGTATATTTGAAGAGAAATGAGATACGGAATGAAATATATATTTTCAAATCCATTTTAATACCTAACTACACGTGATATATAATCGAATCGTCTATACATTGTTGCATGACCGCTACATGAATGTATACACGAATTCTGCTGGTTTATAGCGACAGGGTAAAATCTCCTTAAAAGCTTTATTAGTTGTCAATACTCTCATTTCAAATCCACAAACCCTATACACAATATATAACACAGGCTTCAAGTGTCCGTTAGTTACACATGATATGTGCAGTCTATGACAGAAATTGCAGTATTTTAATGTATCTGTGACCTTAAAACATGGCTCCAACATTTGCGCCTTAAAAACAATGACTTTAAAACCTTCAAAACGTAACCCCTTCCAACCGTACTAAATGTGTACATTTAGATAAACCATCGTATTGCTTTTCAGCACTCCAACACAGCTTCTAGGCCACACCCTTTCCTATATTACATTTTAAAATAAATATTTTGTCCCAAGTACTATTAAAACATATATTTGATATCCGATAAAGATTTAAAGGGTTACAGCAGTGCAGCATCAGCTCAGGTGAGTTCCAAAGTGAACTAAAGCTCTTATGGTCCCTAAGAACATTTATATTTCCTCTTTATTTATTTTGTAACCTAATATATTAACCTTGATATGATTTTACGATTTCACACCATTATTTATTATTTTAGTTTAAACTATAATCGTTTCTAAAACTGACAAACAGGTTATGTTAAGTATCTAGCGTATTCTTAAAAGAATAAAAAGGCAAATATTTAAGTCCTCTGTAGTGGATTCTTACCTATAATTTGGCAATGCGATGATAAAGCCTCTAGATTTTAACCATCGTGTAAATGGTAAGCTTATTTGAGGCACTGCAAATTCGCATTTCATTGATTGTAATTGATGTAGCGTAATCAGATGCTTGCCTAATAAAGCAATTTACAAACAGAACACAAATATTTGAGTGTATTTAAGTACAAAAAGATCAAAGCACCACTCTTTTTCAAAACATGTATACTATGTTAACTATAACATCGTACATGCTATGAAATAAAAAAAATTATACAATGGAAACAGTAAGAGTATGTTACATATGTGAATTTGTTTTCATGAATCGTGATGCTAATATTACCTGAACAGCCAGTTCCTGTATATGCACTTCTAAAACGTTCATTGAATACATTTGAAGGGAAATGAGGTACGGAATGAAATATATATTTTCAAATCCATTTAAATACCTAACTACACGTGGAGTATAATCGAATCGTCTACATATTGTTGCATGACCGCTATATGAATGTATAAACGAATTCTGCTGGTTAATAGCGCCAGGGTAAAATCTCCTTAAAAGCTTTTATAGTTGTCAATACTCTCATTTAAAACCAACCAACCCTATGCACAGGCTACAAGTGACCGTTATTTACACATGATATTTGCAGGCCATGACAGACATTCCTACATCTTCTTATTTTTAACGAGATGCAATACAATTACCTTTTCGGTTCCAAAATCTGGTGGGGTCATGGGCCTTATTTTACACTTTTAAGATGGGTCATTTTGTAAATATAGAAGTATGCATATCAAACCTTAGACTCTTACGAGAAGGAAGGGAATCTCTAGGACCTGCAATGAACACATCTAATACATTCTATTTGGTGTTTGTGGTAATTGATTCTTAGACTAACAACCGATTAATTAAGGATACAACATGTCCCATTTGGGATTATTTTTTGAATAACAGATTTTCTCCTTTTCAAATTGCAGATAATTCAGAAAATTAAGGTAATAATTAAAACAATAATAAAGTTGCGTATACATTTATGTTACTTTCAAAAATGAATATATATTCTAGAAACCTAAGTTGTGTAAATGAAGGTGTCGGGACCCCTGAACTTCTGTGGAGAAGTGCACATTTTCCATGGTTTACTGACTAATTAGTATCGCCTATACTATTTACACAGGGTACAGTACACATTTTCAGAGTCTGAATTTACTTATCGAGCTAATATAGCAACCGAATACTTTTTGCATTTCATACAATAAACATTATAGCATCACTAAGTCGATTTTAAATCAAAAACAAAAATATATTTTTGTTGTCAATCAAATTGGAAATTTATGAAAACACGCAAATTAACAAAAAATAAAATAGAAAATAGCATCACTTTTACATTGTTTGGCATTATAGGCAAATAAACCATTTGCAACACCTTTACTATCCCAATTAGGGCAAATCCTTGATCATAATAATCATTTGAAAAAAATGCATTTTCAAAAAATAGGTGGTATAAAAGATAAAATAATTGAATTCCATGCCTAAAGTGGTCCGAACATAAGTAAAACAGAGGATTTAAGTCAGTACTTTTAGGAATATGAATGTAGGATATATATAATAAACATTGTCATTTGACTACTTTACCACGAACAATACCCTCTTAGTGGCGTATTACATTGATACAAGTATATCTGCATATGAATGAGTTTTACTTCTACTAAATGTAGACTCCATACAGACTTCGTGAACAATGTCATGTATTTAGTTTTATTTATACCAAATGTATTTAAATCATTCTCATAACTGATACCTAGAAACCGTTCTAAAAGATAGCCACATCATCAATGTATACAGTTAACGCTATTTGAACCATACCAGTGTGAATATCGTACATATACTTTAGGAATGTGGATTAGAGAATTAAACATTTATTGAAATCCATAATATATATATATTGAATGTTACATGATAATAAAATAAACAAGTCATCGGTCCGATTAGAATAATTAAAAGGACTTCAAAGTTAAATATTTGAATGAAGACATTTAAAAATATCATCCACAGTTATTGATATTAGAATATATACACTATAATGATTTTTGTTTCATTTCAATAATCACAGCTCTATATTTACATGTTCTTGATATTTCAAGACTTAATACTATTGCATATATACATGGTTACGTATCCAGTGGATGAGCTAATGATAGATAGTCTTATATAAACGTGTTCGCGCATACATATACATATTGATGAAATTGTGAAGTTATTTTAAAATTAAAGGAAAAAAACACACACAAAAACAGTACAAGGATTAGAATAAAAATGCATTGCTAATCTTCATTTAAAGATTTTCTAGGTGAGCATATTTAATTTGCTCAAATCATATTTGTTATCATGTAATGTCCAATGTAACGAATGCTCTTAACATGACGTAGTGCTATTTATGAAGTTATAATACATATATATTAATATTTGATTGATATGTTTAAAAGGTTAAACTATTGATTGACATGATGCATGCAACTCGGTTGGCATGTTTTCCTTTCTAAACCCTTATTTAATTATCAAAATCATTGAGCAGTATCATCAAAATGAATATCATGTTAGTCTCGTTTTTACCCCATACAATTAAAAACGGTGATACACTACATTTAAGATAACAGTAAGTTTGACACAAAATGCAACCACATTTTACTGTCTAGTGAAATTTTCTTGTATATTTGGTTCATTCGATGACTTTGTAAAAGCTAGCAGAATTTAATGTTTTACCTTAATATTTCCTCAGCGGAAATGACAAAAGTTGCATTATCCAAATATTCATTATTTATAAACACAAATGTTGGTCATGCATATTGGCTACCAACAAGTAACTCAGGTTATAACACAAATGAAAGTTACATGCACAAAATGATTGTGATTAACTTGGAAACCAAACCTAAGTTGGTAGGAAAGACATCTACATGAAGTTTCATTTCACAGTTGAACAAGTGAACATGTTCCGTGTAACACAAGACATTATGTGACTGAAACGATGCCGTATATTACTATTTCACAGCTTCAGAATTCAAAATTGTGTGCAAAGACCGGTAAATTAACAGAAACAAAACGTAATCATACACAAATTAAATTCAACACTTTGACTTTCAACTATATAGTATTACAGAATTACTAAACATTGCATCCATTCCATAGCTACCGAATTGGTAAAGAGCGCAAACAGAAATGTTGTGTTTTTGTTTCTATGATATCTTGATTATTACAGAGAATCCTAAGGAAATTGTTTCAGTTTTCTCGGTAAGCCTAACGCATCTAATACGGCGGCAATGGGCGTGACAATGGCGGAACCGTACGATGTACAGCCGATTGCCAGACCAATACAAGTCAGCGTCTGCTCTCCTGTTGGTAACTTGTTCACCACAAACACACCTGATCCAGAATCGCCAGGTAAGAAGATCGGTTGTGGTTGACCTTGCAAACCCAACAATTCCATTTGATTTTTCATCACACACATGTTCGGTTGACCTTGAAGCCCTAAATCAGTTGTCAGGAGTCGGGAGGATATTCCATAGCTGCTGATTATCCCGCGTGATGCATGCGTACTAGCTCCAAATTTTACAATTCGCAAGTCATTGTCCAATGTATCAGGATCATCGTGAATGTCTCCAGATTCAAAGCGGGGGAGGTCATCAAACCCTGAAAAATCAATTTGTTACAGGCTTCATTTTACGTTATCTATACAATAGATTGATAACAAAAATCCATATTCTTAATGTTAATGTCATATACCATTAAATTAAATTGGATTCTGATTAATGGAATCTATCACAATGATATATTTATTTACATTCTTAAAAGGGTCATGCTGTGTTATTAAATATCGTATTGATGCAATGCTATGTAACTTACCTGCTTTTTTAAAATTCATTTCGCTGTCAATAGCGAATTCACCCCTACTTGGTTTTCTTGATTGCTCTGTAATTTCGACAACCGCAGCGTCTATACTGCAACGGTTGCTGTTGGGTGACAATACAGCTCGCCGGACTTCGCCGCAACGTCTTGTGACAGAACCTGCGGTCTGGGGATTTTGGAATGTCATAGCATCCGGCTGTTCAACAAACATGTTCTGAATGTTTTTCAGATCATATCCGTTTGGATCGACACCATTCACGATATGGGCACATGTCAGAAACAGTTGATGTCCTTGAAAATCAACAAATGGACCAACAGTTCCTGCATTGTGCGTGCCTTCAATACCAAAACTACAACCCATTTTGATATTTTGATGGAAAAGGGAGCTGTTGAATGTGGAATAGGAAGCAGGACCAAACTGAAAGTATCCTTCCCTAACATCTACCACGAATGACGTATTTTCACATATCAGCTCTTCAGGGAACTTGGACTCCCCCTTCGGTATATAACCTTTCGAGCTGCAGACCAAGATAATACAAGGACATTCAATGATGTCAGCTCCTTTGTTTTTAGACTTGACAGGAGAAGTCGTTATGATATTTAGATTCGAGTGAGAAGCAAACAGAGAATTTGCATGATTTAATGCAAGTTTTAGTTTTTGTTTTTCCTCGCGTCTGATCGAATACTGGTTATTTTTGCAGATGCTGGAAAGCAAGGCACATTCAGTGCTGACATCCTTTGGATTACGAATAATTACATCGTGTCCAAACTCCTTCAGTTTTCTCTCTGAATTACAGGACGGGTCATATATGATGATTAATTCTTTTTGGTTGGATGCATCTCTCACTTGGACAACACAATCATCTTTCAGCTTGTATTTCTGAGCCAAAAATCTGCAAGTTTCCTCTGAAAAGAAAACATGAAAAGAACATTTAATGTTATAAATCAAGATTAACTTATGTTTGTGATTCGTGATAAATGGAAAATAGACAGTTATTCATTTTTTGAATAATGCTAATTGGTTTAGGAACAAGACATGCATATATGAAAATTATACCGTACCTTATGTATGTTATCATGGTAAATGTAGATTTAGTTGGAATGTTTTTTTATTTTGTTTTCATTGGTTTCAACGTCCTATTATCTAGTGTAAGTTAAGGAATTTCCTCCGTGAGTGTAATTGAGGGGTATATTGGTGTATTTGCCTCCTTGCTATAACCGGATCTGATGGCGACTTTAGTGTGCTACCTCACTGAAATATCATGCCAAAGGCACCTAATATAGTATATCACCCGGTGACATAATACTTAGTCTAAACCAACAACTATAATATTTTAATGGTTAACTTGATTAAAAAACTACATTTTTTGTACACTCCATATATTACATTGTATGACTCCCGGCCGGCGAAAATCCGACAAAAATCGGTAAAATTGTTTTCGAGATATAAATCGGTCTGAAGTCACGCTTTGCACCTGCCTGGCGAAAATACAAGGCACTCAGACGATTCTCCGTGACGTGAGAAGTGTGACACATTCTCACTCTAGAGTCACACTGTTCATCCGAGGTAGGTTCCCCTAATTTGTCATATATAACTTCCCTGTTTGAGAAATTGGATACGCATATTATCGGCGATGATGTTGGAGTTCACTTTTTCCTTTTTGATTGAAATTTTGATTCTCATCCATAAGAAATTAATGACGACACGATGGAGTAAATATCGTCACGGACTTACATTATGTATTTTTAAAATATAAATCATACTGGGTACAAATCATTTATATTGTTCATACGATAAATCATTGAGTTTGTTCACCTAACGAAGTCAGTGGAAAATAAATATTAATAAATAACGTGACTTTAAAGCTTCACAAAATCTTAATGTTACGTGTTTACTGTTAACGATTGTGTATATAATTACTGAATGATGTTATAGATAAACGAGGCAGAAGGAGTAAAAATGATCTTTAAGAATTATTATTAGATGTATTCGTCCACATCATAACATTGTTTTGTGTTGTAAAGGTCTCTCCGACCTCCGATCTACTAGTTTGATGGCCAGTCTATGTATACGACCTTACTTTAACAAATAACAATGTATAGTCACCTGACAGACAGCGGTAATAAACTTTCAGACAAGTCTGCCTCAGATATCTCCTGGCCTCGTATTCATGAATCCGTTTTCTTACTTAAGAATTTTGTGTTCGAACCAATTTTCTTATGCATTGCTTTAATTTTATGATATGGTCAACAAGTCAAATTTAACATTTATATGGTAAAAGGTTTTAGATCTCGACAATATTTATTACAATGATTTACAAAATGTCATTTTTATCAATTTATCACTGGAACAAGGAAGCACAGAAGCTGAGTTTGACCTTCATTTATTGAGATTTGGTAAAGACACTTAAAAAAACAACTTGGTAAGGTTATTGCATGTACTTAGGCACAAACTAAGATATAATTTTCGTCACTGTGACCTACTCATCAACTATGTGCTACTTTTTACAGCCATTTTTTTTATTAGTTGCAGCTTTAATGTTACACAAAACATCAAAGTCATGAAGTAACTTTCAAAAATAACATGTAGTTTTGTCAAAAGGAGGCCATTTGTAATTTTGGTCCCCCACTTTACCCCTCATATCTCGGAATAGTTTCCAAGCTGACCTTGATTTCATGTCCTATCATAATGGCATAACCTCGAGGTATATATGTATATACAAAAATTAAACTTATCGGTGATAGCCACCAGAAGGCCCAAATTTCCCTTTCATCTAACATCTGACATAAACAGGGCTCACCCTGGACCCAAAAAATCAGTAACCAAAAAGTAGCCATGTGTGAATTTCAGTAGCCATTTTTTTTAACAGTGGCCATACTTTCTCAGGCTCCAACCGTTACGGATAGGCCATCCATTAGAATCATTCAATATTAAAAAAAATTGAAGTGCAATACTATTCAACATGATGTTAAATTAAGAAGTACTCTATTAAATTATTTCTTCATTAAATATTGCAAACCTCACTCTATTTTTGAAACTAATAACAGGATCATGATTTGCTTCTGATGAAAAAAGGTTTATTCAATAGTGGGCGCCTTTTTTTCACAACAGAGTCCTTTCTCTAAGTATGTCAGTTTATTGGGTAATTTTTGTACCGAACCCATACTTTGGTTTGTTTGGTTTGGTTTTTATGTCCTATTAACATCTATGGTCATTTAAAGGACGTGCCAGGTTTTGGAGGTGGAGGAAATCACCCGCGCCCCAGATTTTGAGAGCTAGTGGTAGCAGAAAATCAACCGCCTTCCATTATGTAGAGGTCCCACTTTAGTTGCCTCTTATAAGAAGAAGTTGGTAACAGCAAGTTTTTTCTTTTCAATATCCAAGACCTGCATGGTTTGGTTTGGTTTAGATAGTTCAGTAGGATTATTAGTGTATAAGCGCTTTTGGTTTTAGATTAAGAGAAAAATACTGCTTGCTGTTGCCAAATCATAGATGGGTCACGAGAATATAAATGATTTTGGTTAAGGACCGCATATTCTGCTTGTGTTTTCTTATCCGTAAACATAATTGATTATTTCATGTGCAAAAGCTTCATCGAAGTAATATGAAATACAAATTTATTCGTACATAATGAGTAGCTTTTTCACATTTCAAAAATTTAACCATCTGTCGGCTATCTTGGTTTTGCAATCAGTCCCCAAATTCATAACAAAGCAAACAATTCCGCTTCTTTTCTAAAATATGAAAATATGGGCCAGCACATTGCGTATACTCCATATAAATGCCTCGAATTTATAAAAGACAACAGTATATATAGTGTGAGGATCCAACACTATCTGGATAAAACTGACCCAAAACTTTTACCCGAGTGAAGTGAGACGCCGGCGCTGACATCGGGGTGACTACATAACCCCCCTATTCATCGAATAGGCGAGTTCGAAATGAACACACGCGTAAAATAATATACAACAACCGACCGAAAATGTCGACCAGTGCGGCGAAGCATCGGACGCCTTCGATATTATGACGTCATCAGAAAGTATACATTGCAACATTATATTTTTTGTGAATACATAAGTGAACAGCGGCAGAGGCACATCCTTAACTCCCTTAAGTTGACTTAAGGGGTTGAACATTAGTGTTCATGTTAAATCAATGAAGTATCATAAGGACGTATTGAATATTTCCAAAGATACTTCACAAGCATTGCATTCATTTGATGTTTTAATGACATTGCCCGCTAGCGTTTGGAAATGGGAATGTTAGACAACAACAAAACTTAATGCGTAGTAATGCAAAAAGCCCATGAAGTTTCAAAGATCAGACATAAGGAAGATATTGTCCGGAAAAGGTGTCAACAGAAACAAAATCCTTCCTTTATGCTTAATGATTTTTGTAAGGGTACAATGATATAAAGTATACTTTAATCATACCCATGATGCTTTAAGTAGTATTTAGATCAGTACTTTATTCCATCTTCCAGTTGTTTCCCCTAATTTGATTATTAAAACCAAATGGTTTATATGTGTTCTAATGTATATGTCTATCCTTGTACCACTGTGTGTTACTATGTTTGGAGAGGGCTTAAATAAGCTATACCTGCTGCCCAATCCATTTGTCCTTTGACAATAAAATTTATTGAAATTGAAATTGAAATTCCATCTTCCCTAAAATTACATCAAATCTAGCTACATTCATATTATATATAAATATTGATTATGCTTATTTGATTTTTCAAATATATGCAGAGGGGCGGGGCAGAGGGGCGGGGCCGAACAGGGGAACTTGTGGTATATCTTTCAAATCCTTCTCCTTCAATTGGATTGAAGGGATTTTAGACAAATTTGGCTCAAAGCATCCTTTTGCTAATGAGCAACATTCAATTTAATTTTAACATAGATTGTGGCCCATCTGGGGATAGAGGAGTGGGGTCCAATATGGGGAACATAGTAATAAATTTTGAAAAAATTGAGGGAGTTAAACCACATTTTGTGTAGAGCATACCTTGACGAAGGGAACTCAAATTCTTATGGGGAGCATGAAAAGGGGGACTCAATAGGGAAAAATGAGGTTTCCCTATTATTGAGCCTTCTCCTTCACTGCGATTGCAATGCCCTTTTTTTTCTCACCTTTCCCGAAATGCCTGTGAGCTTTTTATGATATGAGTGTCCGTCGTCAATTTGTCGCTTAAAGTTTTCCTTGAACAACTTCCTCTTAAAGACTAAACATCACAGTCATGCTATTTGGCCAGCAGCTACTTATGAATAAATATTGTTAATGTGTTTATGAGTGAATTAGTTTGGCCTATTATAACGGTTATTGGGTTAAAAATTCAAGCGCCATAACAAACCGATTAATTTAGGTAATGCGACTCTCGGAGTTACATTTGTATTTAGTTATAACTTACCGGGACATTTATATAATATACATGTAATATATTTCAACACTGATGTTTTATGGGGTCCTGAAATATCACTTATTCTGTGGTTAAAATTGCCAACATGTATATCATCCTTTTGATGACTTGTTGAACCTTACGCTTATTGTCCTACCTACAGTATTGCTGAAGGAGATATTAGGTTTGCACTTTATATTTTGGATGCGAATTCTTATCAACATTATTGACATTGTGTATCGTGCGGCACATCTCGAATGCCTTATCGCCTACAAATGATTAAAAAAGTATTGGACTACGTCTTGGGAATCAGAGTTTTGCGTACTAAAATGAAGCCCTTAACATAGAATAATAGACATTTAACCATGTTTTATAGAGCATGATTTACTGTTTTATATTGGTTTGCAAAGCTGATGTAAATATATTTATTGTTCAGTCTGAAAAACAATACCTTAATGACTTCATCTTTTCCTGTAAATGGACTATAGACTGCTCGCTGTATTTTGCCTT